TCTGGGCTCGGATTCGAGTTCAGCAACCTGTGGTTAAACTGGCGTTTCAAGTACTGTATAGTAAGTTAATGGGTTTTAATCAGTGACTGCAAAAAAAAACAATCCTTGTAAATAAATAGTGGATTTTTGCTTAATTTTGCTCAATTAAGATCTGAAAATGTAAAAAATATTGGACTGACTGCCATGTAACAAACATTTATCAACAGCAGGGCACGAGGGGCGATGCAGTGCCCCCTAGTGTAGACAAAAGGTCATTGGAATAATATCTCGGCAGTAGTTCTATGTGGCAGTCTTCAGTGGCTCATTCCCGCCGGTGCGTCAATACACTGCTCTGCGAGCGTTCTGATTGGACACTTCGCAATGATACCAAACAGAACTGGTAATGAAATTGGATTTTAAAATGAAGAAAAGGTTACCGATTGCCGCGTATTCGCCTCACCTGTATGGCTTTCATCGTGTATTCGTGTGTGTGTGTGTACGCCGACTCGTGGTCATCACGGAGGGCAGTGGGTCAAACCACTTGCCCGGTTTTGCGGATGGTGACATCAAAAGACCCCTGCTGAATGTGGGGAGCGTCGCGATGCCAATTGCAATATAAAAAAAAACCCAGTTGAAATTAAGGAAGCTTGCGGAGAGGGGGTACGGGTTAAGGCAATGATTGCGGGGTGACGAGGACAATTCGGCTTTTTATTATTATTATAATAATTATAATAATAATTATAATAAGTGACATTACGGTGAAGTGGCTGAACAGATGCAGTCACGGGTTTATTTTCCCTCGGGGCCGAAACTGAAAACCACTCGTGGTGTTCTCGCTTTTGTTCAATGTCAAGATCTGCCATCTCGTGACCTTGACGTTGAGATGAAAGTAAATATTTACTTATCAGTGATATTTTGTAAAAAAAATCTCAAAGGTCACGAATCATATTTTCTTGTTTATATATATCTATATTTTAAACGCAATTACAGAGCCGCAGCAAAATAATTAAAGCGCAGCCGCCTGAAATTCGTTAAATGTAAATTATTTACGGCGCAAGTCATTAAAGATACGAGAAAAATATTGCCTTTTTTTACGAGTTCATGTACCTGAAAGTAAAGATAAGGTTCCACTGGCGTGCCGCGTGCTGCATCTTGAAGCTTTTTGAAGTATGGAATTGAAAGCCGTCACCGCAAAAAGATCAAAGCCGCCAATGATAAAAGCAGATTGGTCTGTCACACTTAACTGCTTCATCGCTTCTCACTCTCGTAGGATTTCCAGCATGTGTTCGCCAGAGTGCTGTGCATTATTTTCGATTCATTCCTTACCCGGCACTGCGATCAATTGTGCTCCAGGTTTTATCAAAAGCCTCTGGAGGAAATTGAATGATTTTGCACAAGAGAGCGGCAAAACCGCAGAGCCATGCAAACACAATTTACAACAGTACAAAATAATTACACTTTCTTTAATGCAGCTGCTCTTGTTAACGCTTATCCGGAAATGGTCCACGTTTGTTTGTGTTCTGTCGTAAAAATACATATATTGGGAGTGGTAGTAGAAGTGGTTGATAACATCCTAGTGGCTTCGGTTAAAATTGTCCTAGATGCTGCCAAACATCATTGGCAATTTTAATCTGAATATGGCAATTGGAATCTGGATATGAATTCAGATCAAAATGTACAAAGGCAGAGTGCACAAGAGTGGACATGGCGTGTTCTACTCATTTATGAATCTCGTCACTCCGTGCCATTGCAATGCCAAGTTGCCATAGTTTCTCAAATTAGATATTAAAAGCGCGTTGCTGATTAAGTGTTTCCAATGACAATTAACAATTTACTGGACAACTGTGGGAAAAAAAAGCTTTATAGCTGGTCGGATTCCTCCAGTGTAAACAATTATTCCGATTCTGAACATTTCTCTGAGTATATCGTGGCTTCTATGCTCATCCTCGGTTGATGCAGTAAGCAGTTAGTGCAGCGTGTCAATGCCAGCACTGGGAAGACAAAGGTAGCCAGGGCTGTTGCTTGCAAAAACACCCTGTCACTTGCCATTCTGGACTTAACAGATGCTTGATAGTACTCGCCCCACAGTCCACTGGCTTTATGGGATATCATTCATCTTGTCGTTTATATGCTCACGCTATGCTGTTTCCATTTTTTTTACCCAAGAAATAAATATATCATAAGGGCTAATACCCCTCAAAGGGTTAAAAGAAAATGGAATGATTGTTGTCTCAAACAGGGCAACGGGGAAGCTTATTGCCGGCGTGATACATGCCTGTGATGTATATCCTCCTTGGGACTTAAACGAGCCGTCAAACATTAGCTCTGCAATTGATTCCCCATGTCTCCATCCCTTGCCCCCGTTCTTCAGTAAAAGCAAATGAATGGAAATTGGCCATGGTCATTCCTATATCTTTTCTGAAAGAAAAATAAAATAATTTGTTATTTTTTGTTGTTTTCTTTGAACCTATCTACGTGACCTTACCGAAACACCCAAGAATATGAATTCCTGCAGTCACGAAAGCTTTACGTCATGGTCAGACCTATAAAACTAAACTAAAACCATTTTTTATTTTATCAGGTAAGGCACGCTGAGCTATACAGCTATTTCTCAGAAGCGACCTGGCCACAAATGATAGCTTAACGAAGAGGCTTATCTTGTGGAAATTTATAGCAGTCAAAAATTGCGGAGGGAAAAACCGGAGGCCTAGGGAAAAATCCACGTGACGACGGGGAGAACGTGCAAACTCCAAATATTCAGGCAGGCGTCAGGGTCGGGATCGAACCCACGACCCCTGTATACCAGGCAAGGCAGTTAACGTCTCACCACCGTAGCTCCCCTGGCAAGAGGTGGGGGTGCATCCTAAAGTTACCAAGATATTTATTTGTGTACACGATGGTTTGGGGTGTAAACATCGAACCGATTGTAATAATAATACGTACTCCACGTAGGGTACACGGTGATGTAATATCGTGGTTGATCGCTCAAACTACCGACTTATTTGACTTGTGAAAAGCATTTCAATCTAGTTTCTGTCCGATATCTACATTTTAAAATGCCAAGGGAAGCGCTTAATGAATATATCCCTGGGAGTGACGCGACGTGAGAAAGCTTCATGAAACCACGGCGAATGTAAGTGTGATATTCGAACCAGTCCTGATGACTCCCCTCGGTCGACCAAGCCCCAGAACTGTACCTTGTGCTGCGTGTAAACATCGGCACGGGGGAGACAAAGGTGGCCAGCTGGGTGTGGTGGTGGCACACACCCCTTCAGTGTGCCGTGCTGGCCTTACTAGGTACTCACAAACAGCACTTGCCCAAAGAGTCAGTTCAAGGGTGCACAGGGGATTTTTAAAAAAAAATTACACACACACATATATACTTGCTTGTTTTGTCAAAGGCACTGCTTCATGGTGACGTGTGTCGCTGCCCCCAAAGCGGTCTATAAAATGCCCTCTTTTGCCTATTTCACTGGGGCGTCCGTGCAGTGTACATCGATCTCTGCGGGGAGGTATCATCCAGATTCGCCATACCCGAGGGACGGCTCTCGTCCGACCCGAGTTGTTGCGCACATGTTTGACTTTTTACTTCGTTTCATCTGTTATGTTCTTTGCCCGTCTTTATTTTGCAGTGCGAGGCTGTATTTATATACGTTAAGTAGACAAATCGCGGCAAGCCATCAGGTCCGCGAGTCCTGGATTTTGTGCGTGCTGGATTTTTACCACCCCGACGCATGCAATGTCACTTACGAGTACGCCTTCAGCCATCCGTCTGGAATTTAGTGGACACAACTGGTGAACAAAGGCCAAGGGAAAGACTTGAAAGATCTCATACGTTGCTGTACGCGGGCTCTGACTTTTCAATAAACGCTGTCGGCATGCTCTCTAGGTTCGCAGAGAAATGTAAAAGTGCACTGCGCGGTAATTTAGAATTGTGTGCAATAACAATTATGAGCGTTCATATTTTATTTCTGCTCTGTGATGTAGAAACACACGCACGCACAAAATGGTCGCGAAACAATAATTTAAATCCGCGTTTCAGAAAGCTGCATTGTAATGGGCTAATTATAGCACTCGACGCTTTTTCAGACTGTTTTTTTATTTGTATTAAAAATATTGTCAGATCTCCCTGCACGATATATAATTTGCACACTGTATCATGCTTATTGGTGGAGTGGAACATGCGGGTGGTGTTTCCTTATTTAGCAGGTGGCGCAAAGCTTAGAGCCGAAGCAGGCAGCTTCCATCATTACTGATTTCTCAGCTTTTCACTAGAAAGCCTCTTACCCTGCTTATCCGCTGCAAACGGCTCTCGGATAAGAACAAAAAAGCCAAAACCCATGAAAAGTTTTTTTTTACACGCGTGCAGTCATTTTCCAAAGTGCACACAGCGGCCAATGCCTTGCTGCAAAAGCACTGCACGTTTGTGTGTTAATGTATTGCTCCCATTGTTTACCGTATGGAAGATGACGTTTTGCAAAGACTGCAAGGCAAACATCATACAGCCGTATAAAATGTACGAATTGGAAACTTCAGATCTGGCAAAATACAGGGGTTTTTATTTTGAATAGCTGATCCATTGACAGATGCATGCAAATGTGGGAATCTTCCAATTAATAAGAGAAACTAGGCGACTGAGCAATGCGTCAATGTGTATAGTAGGGGTCTAACGATCTATCGAGTAATATCCGTTTTGAAACTAAACGATATGTCGCATCGAATCTTGTGGGTAAGAATCGATGCTTTTTTTAATTAGTAATGATACGTTGTATGTAGAGGGTTCATGTGATCCCTGCAGCCACTAAAGGCCACTGCATTCATTACAAGATACAACAAAAATAGAATCAGTACTTGAATGAATGATCTCAAATCATGATAATTTATCTCCACGAGTAATATAGCTCTAAAAGTTTCATTGCCAAATCGTGGTATTCACAAGAATAGACTGACGTGTAAAATAATAACCATTGCACAGTCGTCGAAATAAAATGTGCACAACACTGGAGTGTGTTCGTACTCACAAACACGTCCATGAGCAAGTGGTCCAGGGCCATCTCCAGGGTGTCCAACTTCGCAGACAGGGTCATGGCTACGACCAGCGGTAAAAGCCCACGCGCGACTCCAAAAGCACATCCACTGGAGCTAAGCTAAAATTATTCAACCCCGGCGCCCTTCCGAACGGCCCACTACACATTTAAGCCCCCGTGTTTTTAAAGCGCACAACTTTAGGCTCGTTTTTTTTACTTTTATAAACCCCCCAAAATCCACCCCAAAAAATACCCAAATCTCTACTTGTGTCCTTTCCGTCTCACTGAGAAATCTGGAGGTTCCAGGGCATCTGACAGAATCGCAGCCGCACATGCGCAAAGGGGGGGGGGGGGGGCTTTCTTGGTGAATCCCCACTCCCAAGTGGCAAATCGGCGCTGGGCACGCGAGGGGCTGCGCGCCAGGCACCGCGGCGTGTGCCACTGGTCCCGCGGTCGATGTTCCGCCCCCCGGTTCGGCGCTCTAGGGGACGCTTGACCCCCCCAGAAGCCAAAGCCAGCGCGTGAACAGCGGGCGATTGTTGTGCGCGGCCAGACTCGCCCCGGCCAGAAGTGAAAGAGATATTCAACCGGCGAAATGTTTCCCAGCAAGAAAAGGGCTCTTTGTGAAATACATTTTTGTGGACACTCTTTCATTTCGCGTGGTCGCACGCATCTTGTTGGGATGAATTCAGTGGCCATTGCATAGCCGGGAACGTAAAAAAATAAAAGCTCTGTTTGTGGGGGTCTCTTTAAGCCGGTCTTTAATTGCTGTCCCATGTTTAAAAAATGCACCCATTATATTGCGTATGAATGTATGAATTGCGCACATAAAGCATGTATCTTCATGATTTCCACTTCCCGTTTTTACTCACACCACCCACAGATACATGATTGTGATATGTACTTTGCGTGTACAAAGTGAAGCTGTATGTGTACAATATGCAGGATGCATTTCACACATTGTGAACACGATGCACACACATTCATTTACTCCACTGTCGCTGTGTCGCTACAACGTACATTTTTTCACAATCCACAGACACAGACATTCATCTATACTCCAGCCCCCCTCCCCTCCCATCTCATTTTTAATAAACTTTTTAAAAAAGGTTACCAAGCGTTGTGTTGCTAATGCCAGCAACTAATCAGACAAACACAGAACGTGGCCTGTAATCATATTGCAGGCATGTGCCCTATAATATATTCTGCCCACATATGCAATATTATATTTTGTGCTGGGAGCGTCGTCGGCCGAGGCTTTAAAGTGTCAAGCTTCACAGCCACCTGCGCAGGTGACCATTTCTGCCAATTAAGTTGCCTCTCTGGTGACCCAACCCCTTGGCTCTCATATAAGTCCAAAAAGCACACCGCCGCCACGCCAACAAGTCGAGTTTGTTTGCTGCGAAGCACGCAAGCCTTCCCGGGCCGTAAATTAGCAAAGGCGACCACAGAATGCGTTTAATCCAACTTTAAAGCCTTGCGCAAACAAAGCCTGCCGTTGGTTCATTTAAGTTCAGTTCTGCACTTCAAAAAGACACTGGTGGGCATTACCTCCCAGCCTTTGAGTCAAACTGTATGGCCAAGCCTGGTATTGTAGTTACGCGCTGCAGTGCGATGTGCTTAGTTCAGCTGGTAGAGCCACAGGGCCGCCTTCTAACGTGAGAGCCTCTATTCAAATCCCAGCCAGGTTTACATAGTGTCTTAGTGCGTCGCCGTAATCCCTCGGAATGCGCCCGCTCGAGTCATATTGTGGAAAGCAAAATGGATTTGAGCCTCGATCATGCTTGGATTGGGTGACCACCATGCACGACACTGGTTGTTACAGGCTGCTACGGCGCTACGTTACAGGCAGCAGAGGGCAGTGCAGCAAGATACATGTTTGTACTTTGCACATTTACTGATGCAGTGGATTAACACGCGCATACAGGGGGAATGGTGAAGACAGTGGAGTTACGTGGGGCCGGCCAGGTGTGCCCGGTAATGACGGGCACATTAAGTTGGAGAGCGATGTACGGCTGTGATTGGCTGGGGTTGCTGTCAAGGGCGGAGTGGCGTCGGGATGTCTGGGAATAGAGGGGGGCAAGTAACAGGTGCGGGGGGGGGGCGTCGGGGGCACGCGGCCTAATTCATTGGTTGGTAATGAGAACGAGGATATATTCTGGAGACGGGAAGAACGAGTTGAGTTGTCGCTGGGACTGGAGCGAAGCAGGTCGGGGAGAACCGGAGCGAAGACATAGGAGACAGAACAGGCTAGCAGTAGAGTAGAGACAAGCAGAGAGAAGCAGAGACAACCAGAGACGGAGTGGGACAGAGACAGCGGGAGAGAGACAGAGATACAGCATGAGACAGAGACCGAGAGACAGAGGGAGAGAGACAGATACAGCGTGAGACAGACAGAGAGAGACAGACAGCGGGACAGAGACAGAGAGAGACAGCGGGGGAGAGACAGATACAGAGAGAGACGGAGTCGGCGAGCGACGAAGAGAGACAGACGTAATGTGAAGAGTTGTAATAAAAGTGGTGTCGGAGAAAACAATAAAGTTGTCCGCGTCAAGTCGACCGCAACACTAACAAAGAGCCCCCATGACCAACACAGCGAGGCGAGGGCCTTCATCCAGCAGTGGACTTGGGTATGAATATGGATATCTGTGAGAAAGAGCTTGGTAGCCAATCGGATTTCTCCAGGATAAATAAAGATTCGAATTCTGATTTGGAGCGTGATGACTGGGAACGATTTTAATTATAACACTGTTGGAGCAAGTGCTGTTAGCGAGCACCTTTGAAGGCCGGCACGGCACACGAGGGGGTGGGTGGCCAACACCACGCATGGCCGCCTTTGTCTCCCTCGTGACGATGTATACACACCGCACCAGGTTCTCATTTCAGGCTGAGTTGACCTAGGGGATGACCAAGACCGGTTCATATAATCGTCACTCGTTGTTGGCAGTTGAGAGCGGGAATCGAACCCGGGTCGCCAGGTTCGTAGCGCAGCGCGCTAACCACTACACCACCGCTCGACAAGAACATGCATACATTCATACATAGGCGTTTTTAAAGAATGTTGCCATAGTGTAATGTTGGCACAATGAACTCGCAAAATCCAGCGGTCGCCAGTTCAATGTCCCACCACGGCAGTTGAAACAACGAGGGGAAAGTTTCCGAAATCTCTCCGCCTCTTTCCACACAGCGGTAAAAACAATGGGTCCACGCAGTTTGGTAAATCACGGTGACTAGGAGATGTTAACTACCTCGCTCGGTATACATGAGGTCGTGGGTTCGATCACGAACCTGACTGACACCTGCCGTATATTTGGAGTTTGCATGATCTCCCCTTGGTCCCATAGATTTTTCTCCAGGTTTTTTCGGTTTTCGCACCACATTTAGAAACAAAGAGTTTAAGAGTATTTTGGCTGCTATAAATTTCCACGCTATAAGCCAATTTGTTGAGCTATCACTTGTGGCCAGGTCGCTTCTGGAAAAATAGCTATGCAGCACAAGTGGGCCTTACCTGCTAAAAATGTTTTTTTGTTTTAGTTTAGATCGCGTGCGGTGGTTTGAAGTGAGGGAAGAAACTCCCCAACGCTTCCGAGACATCCTGGCCAGCATAGAAGAGTAGAGCACGTGTCCTCTGCGGGGGACTGTTTAGAGCTCGGACTCGTTTAAGCCCTTCCACCAGCAGTGGCGTGAGCAAGACATTGTAGAGGCTGCACGGATAAATTATACAAAATATGTAATCGAATTAATCCTTTAAGTTTGTGTGTCTGATAAAAAACATTATAAGACAAAGATCCCCCGTATAGCCTCACCAGATTGTTGGGGCAAGTGCTGTCAGCGAGCACCTATAAAGGCCGGCCCGACACACGAGGGGGTGGGTGGCCAACACCACACCCTGCCGCCTTTGCCTCACCAGTATTAATGTTTACACACCACACCCGGTTCTCATTTCAGGCTGAGTCGACCTAGGGGAGGCCCATGACCGCTTCAGATAATCATCACTGGTGTTGGCCGTGAGCGGGAATCGAACTCGCCGGGTTCATAGCTTAGCGCGCTAACCACGACACGACCGCTCTCCATAATCGCATAAATCCTTTACGTTCGTTATCTGCTACATTTTTTTTTCATAATCACACACAGACACACGTGTCACCAAGTGCACTGTTTATAATTGAAGGAAAATTTGACAGGGAGCTGTTGCACGCTTAATTATATATTGCGCGGCGGAGAATCTGCAAGCGCGTTCAAGGTATTTCCAGGAATTGTTTATTCACACGAGAGTAGTTGGCTCTTTGATGGGGGCGTCTGCCGAGTGTTTGCTCGTTTGCGGAACATTAACCTCATTCACGGCTGCACCTTCTACAGACTCACAATCTGAGCTCAAGTGTCAAAGAATTCGGAGAATAATAACAAAAATACCTGGTTGCAGAAGTCACCATCTACGCGAATATGTTCAAACTGTTTTCAAAGAGATCATCGGGCACGAGCCACTCATGGATTGGCCAAGCATCCGAATGCAGGGCCCTCCTAGATAAGAACTCGAGAGAGTCATCATGGATTTACTCGGTTAAAAAGCATGTTTATTTTTTTTAATCTGTACGGTACACATGAAACACGGATAACTAAAATAACAATTTGATTCTAATGACTGCACCTCCAATGAGCACGGTTGCCTACATCCGGTGCGAAAGAAGTTCAACATACATACATGCAGGCCTACTTATACAGATATAATGCGGTAGACCTCGAAAGTAGCTTATTGATATACACTTCCACGGGTCATTCTGTCATATGAAGGGTTGCACTATGCTGCGAGAAGACTTCACGTTACGACACGAAGCGCTCGCACGATCGTGATAAAACTGATGGGTGCGGGATGCTCTTTACGACCTGTGTTTATCATGCACCATTGCCAAGGCAGCAGTGCCGGATTAAGCTAGTGCGGGGCCTGTAGCATATGTTGCTACTTTTGCTCCTAGGATAATCGGGCACTACAAGACAGTCCCTCGGGTTTTTATTTACCGTCGATGAATGTGGCGCTCCGGCACCACGGCCGTAGTCTTCCAAAGAGAGAAAAGCGGGCAATGGGAGAGAAAGAGCAGTCTCTGTTCGGCACAGCGGACTTCAACATACCCCGACTTGAGTACCGCGGAAAATGTCACGGTCAATCTAACGCGGAGACTTTCGCGACCAATATCATCCATAATACAAGTTTCTTTGGGGTTAGATCGCGTAAATATCACCGCGCATTTTGTCACAGTGCAAATTGTGACGCAGCTTCGTTTATTTCCACGAATCCCGATGCCCCCGCATGTGTAGTAGTAATAATAATGCCCTTCATTTACCTGGAAAGGATCACCGAGTTTCAATACTCGTTTTAGGAAGGATCCTGCATTGGGATATTTTGCTAATTCTAATGAATGTCACGTACCAGAGGAAAATCTCGCGCATATAATGGCTAGAATGTAAAGTTCTGAACAGATATATTGAATAATCCACGTTTCTGATTTCCACTCCTGGTCACCTCACAGCCCAAACCTACAAAACCTGGAACTGTCGTCCCAGGAATAATCCTCCGCGACCATTAGCCAGGCTCAACTCTGTTAATTTTCAGAAATAAATGGCATTTATTGATCTCAGGATAACCATCACTGTGTCCCATGACTCTTTTTTTTCACCCACGAGGGTCCTGCATCGGGATGTTTGGCTGATTCGCGATTAACGAGTAATTGGCGTGTTCTAGCGAACTCCGGGAACTCAGTGCTGCCATCTCCAGGTCATCTCACTACACCACAACTACAACACCTGGCAGCTTCTGGTTGGTTATTCTGCTACAGACCACACAAAGGGAGATTTGGTTCAAAAGTTTTCTCGCTAAATTGCTTTTTTTATTAAACCCGTTAGGCGTGCCCTCGTGTCTGACTTGCTCCCAAGCAAACAAAAAACCCTGACAGACGTGTGGCCTCTTGTAATAGAGAAGGCATTTATCCTGGCAGGCAATAGCAGTGATGTTGCAGAGTCAGCACACAAGCTCAGCAGGGAAACACGGGCGGATTAAAAGCTGAGCCACTTCATGCTCCACCACATTCAACAAAAGGCTTAACATCCCATCGTTATTCGCATACTGTATTGTATAAACGGAATGTTGTTTCGCTGTTTATAATGAATGTTACTATTATATTTGAGTCACCTGTATTTTTCGCACAAGCGGATTTTTTATGACTTTGCGATCTGCTCTGTCGAATTATATTCTTGACATCGGTTGACATCGTCTGTGCCATGCATCGGATGTGTTTATCACAGGCTATGGGCTCCTACTTTGAATATCGACAAAGGAATGTTGCCACGATGTTACCCAGTATGATATGACTATAAATCACTCCGAATCCACGTGTTCCTCTTTCTGTTTTTTATCGTAACTCCAAGCACTTAATCACACAGCGTTGCACACTTCCAAGCTTTTATTTAGTCGTATTTCATTGTTTGTCCTATTTTCCAATGAAAGTAGAAATACATATGACCTACATGAATGCATCGATACGGTACAATCTCATTGTTACGTGTGGCCTAAACCTACTATAACTGCCAGAATTTTTGTAAGGAATAAAATAAAATCCACCCGAGTAATCTTCAGAAAATGTTATTCCTTCCGTCCACGTAGTGTCGATACATTTGTGGGCGTTGCAGTTTATGACGGTATCATTTCAAGAGACAATATCACACGCACCAGCGACCCACGTCAACGAGACGCGAAGAAAATTAACGCGAAGGGGGTTTCTGGCAGGGAAGGCGCTGTGCGTTTTACCACTCTCGCCAAATTGCCGCACGGTCAAAGGAGCAAGAAAGCCACTCATTTTCAGCGTCACCACGTAGAAGCCTTACCCCTGTGAGCTCTAGGTGGCAGAAATAAGAAAAATAACGCGCACAAAACTATTGTTTGCGGGCGTGAATACACTTTTCTTCGAAACTCGTCACCTGTGTCACGAAAAATGCCTTGGACAGGAGAATGCACAACCGGATTGACATTTTCGGCATTGTACATTTTTCTCGACTGTTATTTGTTCAAAGTGTTGAGCTGCTGCTCAACACATTGTCCCAACCACCGCCGCCATTGTGTCCGTGGT